AAACAGCAAAACAAGACGTTCTGCAATCTTCCGAAGTGTCTGGCCTGGCTGACCCACGCAAGCAGAATTGCCCCCACACCACCGTGCAGACACAATCTGCGGATCATCAGGAATTCGTCTTCGGCGACAACCCCTTGACATGTTGTCCAAACCGAACCCCTTGCACAAGATGATGTTCATCACGTGCCTTGCCCCAATGCTTACAAACAACGGCGGCAAGTTAGAGCTTCGTCTCCGCCAAGACATCAGAGTAACTATGACGTGATGTCTCCTCACTGCACATTGTCTCAGCAACGGCGGAAGAATGCTTTTCATCATGTGCCTTGGCTCCAACGTTTACCAACAACGGCGGCAAGTTAGTGCGTCTCCGCCAAGAAATCAGAGTAACTATGACGTGATGTCTCCTCACTGCACATTGTCTCAGCAACGGCGGAAGAATGCTTTTCATCATCTGCCTTTGCTCCAACGCTTACAAACAACGGCGGCAAGTTAGTGCTTCGTCTGCGGCAAGACATCAGAGTAACTATGACGTGATGTCTCCTCACTGCACATTGTCTCAGCAACGGCGGAAGAATGCTTTTCATCATGTGCCTTTGCTCCAACGCTTACCAACAACGGCAGCAAGTTAGTGCTTCCTCTCCGGCAGGACATCAGAGTAACTATGACGTGATGTCTCCTCACTGCACATTGTCTCAGCAACGGCGGAAGAATGCTTTCATCATGTGCCTTTGCTCCAACGCTTACCAACAACGGCGGCAAGTTAGTGCTTCCTCTCCGGCAAGACATCAGAGTAACTATGACGTGATGTCTCCTCACTGCACATTGTCTCAGCAACGGCGGAAGAATGCTTTTCATCATGTGCCTTTGCTCCAACGCTTCCCAACAACAGCGGCAAGTTAGTGCTTCGTCTCCGCCAAGACATCAGAGTAACTATGACGTGATGTCTCCTCACTGCACATTGTCTCAGCAACGGCGGAAGAATGCATTTCATCAGCTGCCTTTGCTCGAACACCTCCCCACCACGTCTCCGGCGAGATGCCATCACAAGTTTGATGTGATGTCTCCGCACTGCCTCGTGTCTTGGCAACAGCACGGATATGATTTGATCATGCCAACACACCCCAACCACATCAAGCATGAAGCTGTCGTGTGACATCGCAAATGCCGTGTGAAAGTATCTTCCACCAGGGCTTTGTTGGAGCAAGGGCTTCACGGCACACGACCGCGGCGGCGGTTGGCAGTAGAACGGCAGCCACAGCACAGCCGCATCTCAGACAGAAGCGTGCTTCTTTTCAACCTTTCCGGCTTTGCAAGTTCCAAGTTCCGGAGACTCCCAAACCCGACCTGAAAGAGCCCCAATCTTTCTTCCTCGAATTTCTCTCTGCTACAAGCGACTGCAAAAGCCGAGTCCCTCACATGCCAGTCAGTTGACCCAGTGCCTCGGCTCAAGCAGATCATACCAAGGAAGGCCGAGGGGCGTTTCAGCCGAAGGCTTGCGGTGAACTGGCCTGCCTCCATCCCTCCTTCCGGCCCTAGCACACTCCCTCATGCGTAGGTTTTATCGAGGGTCGATATCACGCCCCGGACAATTACATCTTTCTGTCCCTGACAATGATTTACGTCGAGCTTGCTTCTCGGCAGGAAAGCTTTGTTTGCTTCTGCTACGGTCGCAAGTGGCCTTCACCAGAAGCTTGCGGTCCGACTCTGTCTAACAATCCAGCAGTTTACAGGGAATCGACAGGGGAGCTGGCGGTGCGGAAGAGGGCACGCAGACAGTTGGAGCCACGAACCTCAGGGGCAGAAGGGGAAGAGAGGTTGGCTTGACCCACGTGTGTCAGAGAGCAGTCGAACTTGCAGTCTCGCTCATGCGCAGTGTGCAACATCAGGCTTGGCTGGTCACCGGCGCAACAACAGCAGACACCAACGTTCTTAGTGCAGACGCTCCTATCAAAGACACTTCAACATGTCATGGCAATAAGTGGCACAAGGACGCATCTGGTCGGTCAGCTCGCTTTTCATAGCAGCTTGTACTCTCAACAGTTCGAGGCCAATGCCAGTGCGACATCACTCTGTGCATCATGGAAGACCTGCAGCATGATACCATGCAGAGCAACCTTATCTGCATAGCTTGCAGGTGAACCATCCGCAGACGAACACAGTCTCAAACTTATAAAACTCAGCAGCACGTCTGAAGCCACACGAAACTGCGCCTCTGCTCCGAAGAAAAAGAGGCTCTCTGCTGCGCCGTCAGCCTCTTAACACGCACGCCAAAATCGTCTTCCATTTCTTTGGCGATGTTCGTCTGCGTTTTGGGGATGCTCGCACCCACGTCTTTAAGCGTCGGCAGACACGACCCTCAACGCACACATTCCCAAAAGCTGATAGTGCTGCACCGCGCAAACAAACGCGCGAAACGCTTTCTCTCTCGAAACTCGACATCCATCTGAGTGCTAAACCCTTCGACATGCTCATGTCCGACGAAACAACGGGGGCTCAAGTCAAGACCCAGACCTCATGACCTAATCTTTTTCACTCTTATGGTGCAGACACTTCACTGAGCCCGGTAGTGGAGTTACTGTTTGTTGCAAGCATCTGAGTCGTTGCTAAAAAGCCTCACAGCTCCGTTTGACACACTACAAAGACCGCACACCAAACTAGGAGGCTCATAGCTTAGGAGATCCTTTTCGACCCTTCGATTCTTGCGCTTGCTCCATGGCCTCGGGACGCCTCAGCTGCAGCGAAAGGCGAAGAAGGAGCTCGAGCCCCGCCTGGCATTCGATGATGCTGCCGCTGAGGAAGCCGAGGATGCCAAGGGTGGCGAGTGATGAGAGATGCTGATGGTGGCGCTGACGGTGGCGCTGATGGTGCGCATGTTTCTTCTGATGACGCTGCAAATCACGATAGTGTTGGCGATGAAACTATGACGCCTGATGATGCTGACGATCATGACTACGAACATGATCACAATTAGGACGGTGATGACGGTGACAGTGGCGATGCAGCTGCTTCAACCAGTCCGACTGCCCACCTGAGCCTCGCTGTTGGCCTGAGGATCCACTTATCGACCGAAGTGCAGCTTTCCAAAACGGCTGTACAGTCACTCCTGATAGTTTATCGACAATTGGCTGCGCATGGCTGCGACCTACTTCACCTCATGGCACGGAGCCGCGACGGTCTGGAGGCCGAGGTGGTGGCACTACCCTCTGAGGCCAGGGAGAACTCCTGACTGTACACTTGCTGAGCATGAACCACACTGCAACGCAATGCACCATCTCAGCCGCCACAATGATCTTGACTTCCTTTCGAAACGATTGGTATCGCAGCTAGTGCCCGGTCCAGCACATTCCGGAACGGCTGGCCCAGGCGCTGAAGGAATGCCTGAATGAAGAGGACACAATAGGGGTCTGTGGAGGCCATTGGATTTTCGCGTTTAGCGTCTAGGTGAACTAGGTTGTATGGAGTCGGTTAGGTTTATGGCAAGAGCTCGAACGAATGGCTGTTGAGTTGTTCCGCCTTATTCGGTCGCTGCTGCCATGATTTCATGCGAAATCGCTGACGTCCTCAATCTGTCTGGGGGAAATATAGAATATAGTGTAACACGGCTGAGTCGCACGGCGGAGCCCCGAAGCCCCCACGCGTTCGCGCCTGAACCCCAAGCCCCTTAACGTCCAAATGGCTCGCCGAAAATCCTTTGGAAGCCTTCGACTGCTCAACTTATAGCGGCGTAGAATGTCGTGTAGTAACTACATGCAGTATAGTCTACTATAGCATACTATATATTATAGTGTACTATAGTAGACTATAGTATAGTATAATATAGCACAATATACGACAGCGGAGACTTGAACTTCAGGCCTGCGCCTGCCCGGCCAAGCTCGCGCACCTAAAGCTTCAGGGAAATAGGACGTGGCAGTGCCGCCATGCTTTAGGCTTTAGTCAGAGTTAGGGTTTAGGGTTTAGGGTTTAGGGTTTAGGGTTTAGGGTTTAGGGTTTAAAGTTAGCAGATAGCTTTAGTGCAGCCAGGGAGACCATGTACGGTCACGAGGTTCTAAAGTCGGACTTAAAGGGTTTAGCAGCTCGGTCGACCCCTGGCGTGGTGTTCTTCTATTCACGACCTACATTGGCATGGGGCAGGCATGTGATTTGGCATGTTCGCACTCGAAAGCACCTATAAACTATCAACACGAAGCAGGCGCTACGACAGATGTTGTGCCATACCTCCAGCACCCAGCCCATCTCCGAGGCTCGGGCCCCAGACACAAGGAGTTGTCCCTCCAGCCTTTCCGCGCAAGCTGAAGGAAGTCCTCCGAAGATTTGGGCGCAGGGCGGGGTAGGAGGACGAAGCGGGAGCCTGGCCGCTTAGCATTGCCTGCTCCAAAGTGAAAAATCTCGATTTTGAAGTGAAACGCCAAAACACCCGTCCCATCCCGCCCCATATCTCTCAGAGCTTTAAACCGCTGCACACAAGTTCGCAAAGGGATTGAATGTGGCTGAATACTGTTCTGCAGTCTCAAAACAGGTCGAACCTTTGACCAGCCGACAGTGATAGTTGCATGTTGCCATGGCGCTCCTCCCACCGTGCCCGGGAAATTCCTTCGATGAGGCTGCCCGAACCTTGGGTGGCTACTCGGTGCTGGCATCGCTTGGCTTGGCCGGCAATCTGGCTGCTTCACGCTACTGAGCAGGTGCAGATGTTGCACTGAAAAGCGCAAAGCCTTGAACCGCAAAAGCCCGACCTGCCTTGCAGAAAATGAGCGAGACATGATGCCTGATGCCCTCAGCAATGCTCGGAATGGGACTCGGCGTTTTGATCTCATCCTGTCTGATGCTTTCAAAGACGCGAGACTGGACCTGTCGTCACTCTGGTTGATGGCCACGTTGCTGTCTCTGACTCTGGTGAAGGAGACTTGCATCTGGCTGAGGCGGAAGCGTCTTGCGGAATATCTTCCCCTTCATTGATGCCACGGTTGTTGCTGATGAAGTCCTCACTGCAACTACGAGCCACCCGGAACACAGATTGGTCCTCTGCTGAGAGCTGCCCAGCATTCCCTGCACACGAGCGCTTTTGCACCCTGGCACCGAGAAGCTCAATTCCTTCTTCCACCAGTGGCCTTGCTCCAGGGATACATGAAGCAGGTAATCTATGGCTCCATGCCCAGAAGTAGCAGCACCAAAAATTCATGCCAGCGTGGCACCGTGGCAGCACGATTTCCACCCCCAAAATACGCACTGCAGTTTCGTCTAACCTAGCCCCGTGCCACTGATGCTCCTAAGCAGCACCTGCTTTCCCCCAAAACACTAACATGAACCTAAAGCCCTTCCTCATATCCACGGACAACGAGAGTTCTTCTGCCTATGGTATTCGGAGCCCCTAGGTGCTGCCCAGGGGCACACCCCCTCGAAAGAGCGAGACGTGCACAAAGAGGCCCAGAATGCTGGCAGCAGGCCTGGGGAAAGCATGAAGTTGAAGCATGAAGAGGTAAACAGCCCAAGCCCTGATGAAGCTCAAAATCCCCCATACCGGACCATACCAGTATCTCCCCGTCCTTGGTGGCAAGCGGAGGTGTTGCAGCTGAAGCGTAGCCCTCGCAGCCTGAAGGCCGAGCACGCCTCACCGGTCACAGAAGACGCTCAGCTTCCCCGCGCACACGCGCCGCTCACACCCCTCCCAGTCTCCCCCCCCCCCCTGGCGCCTCGTCCAGGAGGGCTGGCTGAGCTTCCCCACGCGCTCAGCATCTCTTTTGAGAAGGAAGCCCCGAGGTCAAGGGTGTCCTGGAACGCACTCCGCAGGACAAGCGGGTTGGGCGAGGCCCCGAGGCCCCGAGGCCCAGGCCAGCAGCACTGGGCCTCTGGAAGTTCCACACCCGCTGGAACGCACAAGCCTTAGAGGTGACTGCAAGCCACTTTCAGGCTCCGAGGTTTATCTAAGTCCTGTGCCAGAAGGCTTGGTATAAGGCCAGGCCCCTCTCAGGTCTTGGCACCAGCTGGGCGTGAAGAGGTTGCAGCAGCTGCCGCTCAAACGCCTCTTTGTTCATCGCAGTGGGCACAAATGCATGGAGCGCCCCCCGCCTGTGGCACCTGACACAAGGCACTGAGGGCCCGGCGATGGCCGATTGCTTGTGGAGCAGGCCCCTGCACCAGGGCAAAGCGCAGTGAAACAAGAGCCAAAGATAAAGGCAGATCTCAGCAGTTCTCCCACGGTGGCCCATGTGCCTGAGGGCCAACACCGAAGCATGAGCCACCCGCTCGCCGACGATCCGTTCCGGGGCATGTCCGAAGATGTGCAATCCCAGTGGCCTTCGGAAACGTCATGGCAGGAGCTTAAAAGCCCCCCAAAACCTACCCAAACACAAGCAAAGCCTCCGGAGAAGCTCCTGGAAGGTGAATTCACGGAGGACCGTCCACGCCGCCGCACCTCGCTACGGCCATCTGTAGGGGGCCAGGGCAAAGAGAGAAGCAAGCCTGCAAGGCAGGTGACAGGGGAAATCGCTTTTTCGCGACTTGACGCACAGCTCGTGAGATAGCTATATTATACTATATTATACTACAATACGTATACTATATGATACTATATGATACTATATTATATTATTATACTATATTATACTAATGAGCTCTGAGATTCGCAAGCACTTCGTTGTGCCTCGGCCGCTCTCCTCGCAGCTGCGCAACGCGGCGGCGAGGCCGACGGCATCCACCCGAAGCTCGGAATGACCTTGCTCATTATTATGATTGTTATTATTATTATTGTTCTTGTAATTATTATTATTACTTTATTATTACTATTATTGTTATTATTAGTACTATTGCTATTGTTATTACTATTATTATTATTATTATTATTATTATTATTACTCTTGTTATTATTATTACTATTGTTATTATGATTATTGGTCTTAGCAGCTCTATCTTTGGAATTCCCTGTGAACGCCGGGGAAGTTCAGGGACCCAGGCGAGCAGACTGAAGCAGGTGAAGTGATCTGGCCCACTGTGAGGCTAGCTCGAAGTTGCTGAAGAGGCTGTTGATCATTATGGAGTTCGGCTGCAAGAGGCCTCAGCCAAAGCGAATCTGTTGTCGTATTGATTCATGCACAGACAAGTTTGCAGCTGGCTGTCGCTAATGCGGTTGAGCTACAGTCGCCCATGTTTGCGAGAAGGGCCACAGCATCTCGCCACATAGTTGCCTTTTCGAAGCAGCTGGTCATCATGCTGCAGGAGGCGAGGCTGGGCAAGCCGGGCATGGTCCTGCGGTGTATGACGGCTCTCGATACGTTGGTAGACTACGCAACGTCGAGGTACGGCTTACGAAAAGCAAGCAGTGCTACTGAATTGGGGCCGCACGCAGTAGCAGAGCACATAAGTGGGTTGAGCCAGCTATGGAAAACGAAGGCGTGACGCTATGTGCCACGACACCGTCGCATGTGGAACGCGTCCACGATGGCTCAACTACATTTAATAAAGAGTCAACTCCAATCCCTGACCCGCTCCTGAGCACTGACAGCGCCCTCTCCCAGCAACCACTGCGCAGCCTTGGGCTCTCAATGCCACTTCTCCCCAAAAACGAGGCTTTCGTCTGTTTGGCGACTTTCTGGAAACTCGCTCAACCCTAAACCCCAGCATCCAATACCTAGTACCCATATAACAGTCTAGAAAAACACTAGAAACCCTCAAAAAGCCCTGAAAGTCCTGAACCCTAAACTCCAAAAAGGCCGCAACAGGCCCCAAAACTCCCCAAAACGCCTCAAAACGCCGTCAAAAGCCTTGAAAAAACGGCCACCCTCCCCCCCGCTCCCTGCGCCGCAGCAGCAGGCCGGCCGCCAGGGCCTCGAGGCCCAGGCGATCCAGGAGCTTGGACCTTGGCTCTAGGGTTTAGGGTTTAGGGTTTAGGGTTTAGGGTTTAGTTGGCTCATGATACCATAGTGTGTTTGTGATATTATGCTATTTTATGCTATATTATACTATATTATACTATTTGATACCATAGTGCGTGTGTTTTATGCTAAAGTATATTCTGACATTGTACAATATTAGACTATATTAGACTATATTATACTATATTATACTATATTAGCCCATATTATACTAGATTATACTATAATCTGTTATATTGTTTTATGTTGTAATATATTAAAATGTATTAAACTGTACTATAATATTTCATTAATAATGATTCTTTTCGTATTACGCTACCAGTGATATGAATATTGCACAGTCCTAGGGCTGAATTCGGCCCCACTCCATTCGCCTCACTTTGCAAATCACGGACGACTGTCCTCTAGGTCCAGGCACCCTACCAAAGGGCCGGAAACCTACGCAGGCCTGGGTGGAATTTAAAAGTGTGTGAGGCTTTGGCTTTATGTCCTTCAGGTGCAAGGGATTCTGAGCGCGACCGCGCTGCTCTCTTGACCGTTCCACCAGCTGCAACATGGCAGGCCACTGGCCTCGGCAATGTCTCTTGAGCTATGAAACTCTGTAGGCTGTTCCGAGGACATGTCTCTTGCAGACTAAATCTCTGTGTGTGCCTCCACTGCGCCCCAAAGCGCGTAGGGCTGCAGTGACAGTGATGGCGTTCGGCAGCGCCCGGTGGCGAGGCATCTCCTAGTTTGGGAGTGAGCTTCCCTTCTACAGGGAAGCACAGGTATTTCACTGCACTTTCACTGATAACACATGGTAAAATACAAAGATTACACAGCAGAACATTTACGATAGCATGAGTCGATATAACAGAACTGAACATGACATAACCTAAAACAACACAGCATACCATAATATAACATAACATAACATAACATAGTATAATGGAACATAACAGAATGTAACACAGTACAGTACAATACGACGCAACATAGTATAATACATTCTAGCATAACATGATATAATGCAAGTCAATGCAACACAGTACAATTGATACAATACAGCATAATACAATAGCAACCACTAGCATACAATACATATATATATATATGTATATATATATATGTATATGTTTGTGTGTGTGTGTATGTATGTATGTATGTATGTATGTATGGATGGATGGATGGATGGATGGATGGATGGATGGATGGATGGATGGATGGACATATAGATGTATGCATGTACGCAACCATGCATGCATGTTTAGGTGCCTGTGTGCATCTATGTTTGCATGTGTATGTATGACATACATACACATTGTGTATATGCATTTGCATTTGCACAGTTTTCCGTATTATAATATACTGCCGCAAAATACTAGATTCGAACACTACAGAATATTTTTCGAAATAGAAAACATTTTGATACAGGTTAAAGTGTAGTAAAATGTCACTTAAATGCATGTGGCACGATACATAGGATTCTCCTGCAACAGCGCCAGGACGCGACGCCACTGCGTGGCCCGTTCGTAGGCCCACGCGAGGCTGCTGAAGCCAACCGTGTCCTGTTTTGCAAGAGGTGAGGCTGGGGGGTTTTGGGTACTGTAATGTCACATAACATCATACAAGATAGGATGATACAACATAACATAATATAATATCACATATGGGTTTAGGCGGTGGCGTTTGGGGGCTCGGGGTGTGCACGGAGTTCAGAGCCTCAGCTCCCGTGCTGGCTGTTCTGATGATTCCGAGTATTCTCCTTGTTGTAGTCACTTTGCTGTCTCATACTAAAATAGTAATAGTAATCGTAATAATAATAGTAGTAATAATCATAGTAACAGTTAAGTTCTAGTAACAGTAATAGTAGTCTTGCAATATTCACCGTACTGGAAACTCTCACTGGGCTCTATTCTCCAGAGATCCAGCGTCATGTTTCGTGCTGCTGTTGGTGGTCGCTCTTTGTTCTGTTTCTTTTTACTCTGGGTATCTCTATCCGTTGCAGCACCGTTGTGTCGATATTCCTACTGTTGTGTCATGCTCTCTGTTTAAGTTGATGATTCTTCATACTCTATTGGCAGGAGGGATTTAGGGTTTAGGCGTTCAGGGCAAGAAGGCTGGCACACGACGTCGGTAGGTTTGGGTCAACTGATCTGACATAGATCGTCCCAGAAGTGCAGACGGGTGTGGCCTTTTAAAGTCCTTCATCCATGAGACGTGTCCACAGAATCTTATGAACGGTCCAGGTGCAGACGTGCTGACTTCGCGCGCTGGAACAGTGCCACGGCCTGGACCCAAATCTGAAAAAGACGCTGTGGAAAGACTTCTGCGCACCAGCCGAGCCTGCATCCAGCTGCTGCCCCGCTGCCAGGCTCCCAACACCGCGCTGGTCGCGCGGATGTCCCTCGGACCATTTGCCGCACCCGATCCGAGTGCCGACGAGATGTAGCAAAATTTGGGATCAGCCGAGCAGCAGCCCAAACAAGCTCTCATAGGCCGCGAAGATGCGAACTGCCTCGCGCATTGGCAAACATGTACTGTGGATCTACTCTTCTGCAGGCACAGAAAGGCACGAATTTCGCAAGCCTGCTCCCACTTTGCTGCTTTTGTAAGGGAGGAGATCTCTCCTGTGAACCTGACAGACTTTCACAACAGCTTCGGCTGAGGCCAGACCTCCGTCTAACCTCACGCACCTTGCAGCATTGCGGGTGGCCAGCACGGCTTGGGACATGCGCTGGACCAGGCACCAGGACTTACGGCTTTGGGTTTCTTTCACTATCACGAAAAGAGTTTTGAGATAAATTTAGGTTCCGTTATGCAACGATCCTTGGTAAATTGTTTTCCTTCTTACAGGACTTGAACCACATCTCCCATCTGCGAGGCATGTGAATGCGGCCAAACATTCAGCGAAATGCAGAAATGCATCAGCTGCGTTCTAAAGTTTCTAAAGCCAATAAGGACAGACAGCCTGTGGTCATGGTTCTGCACGAATCTCGCTGTAGTCCTTAAGGCTCATCCGCTTCTTCAACTTGGGGTTGTGCTGGTCCTCAGCCCGGCAATCTGCAGGAGTTCCTCATCACGCTCACGAAGGTCCGACAAGCGAAGGTTCTCCCAAGGGCACGACCGAGTTGAGCAGGATGACACCTTGGGGTCGCTCTTCGACTTGCCCCACAGACTTGAAGCAGACTTGCTGCAAAGCTGCTGAAGGCGAATGTGTACGCCGCATCCGGGTGCTTCAGGTAACCTGATCCCTGCGGCAGATCGCATAGACCAGTTTCCAGTGTAGGTACTGAGAGAATCATCGTTGAGGGTGGGATCGCCGTGATTCCGTGAGATACGACTGTCCAAACCCTCAGACAGTCAATCAGCTCAAATGAGGTTACCGTCCGCTCGTCCTCTTTGCCGGAGCTGCGGCAGTGCTCCACATGCTTCCGGTAGTATGCATGGGCCTGGGCTCCGGGTTTCGAGTTAACCTCAAAACATTGCAACTTTTTGGGGAACCCCAGGCCGCGCTCCATGTCAAAGACACAGCTAGATGCCCTCGGAAGCAGCTTCGGGGCCTCTGAGAGGCACGGAAAACCTTGAAAGCCATGTCTCAGCTCCGCGCAAAGATCCGCAGCACGCGGTCGATCTGCTGCGCCTCCTCTGCATACTCCCGGGGCTTTCAGCAGCACTTTTCGGCTTTGACAAGGGACATCGAGTCCCGACGTCTGACAAATAACTTCGTCGCTTTAGCCATCCAAACTACTCTCAACTCAACGCCAAAATGAGCAACATCCTGCAGAGTCTTGGCTTGTGAGCAAGTCGCGCCGATCGAGTTCCCTCCTTCGGCAGGAGAAAAGCCTCAAGGAAGCTCCGCAAGGCCTCGTTGCAAAAAAAGGCGGCGCTCGGCCCTCAGTGGCCCCCCTCGGTCCTATCCGGTCCCTATCTCGAGCCCCTACCCGGCCTTCTCAATATCTGCTGCTCCCCAATCGAAGGTCTCGGCCTGGGCCGACTTCAGAGCTCCTCAGATCCTCGCATCCATCCCCTGAGGCCTCTACCCCCTCGGCGGGACTGCTTTAGGGTTTAGGGTTTAGGGTTCTCTTCGGTTTTGGAGGTGCTGCCGAGTCCAGCAGCTGGGGCCCTGACGAAAGAGGTGACAGCCTTCTCGCTGTCCTGTGCCGTGCAGCGCTTCCCAGGCCAACACACGATGCAGCCGCACCAGCATCACGCATTGCCGTTTCCGTCAATATCAAAAGCAGTTATGGCCTCCTTCGGCTGACCGAAGAACTCGCCGACTGCTGAGTACGGCACCTCCGGGGTAGATGGAACGGGGGATGTGCTTTGAAGCAAGAGCCAAGTGTAACACATCCAGGCTGAAGTGCCGGCGCCGCGAAGTTCACGGTCCGGAGCAGCCACACCAGCTTGAGCACCTCGTGAAGCGACAAAGGGGTCTTTATTTCCGACTTCGACCAAGAACGTTCGAGGAGAAACGGAGCCGGTGGAAGTACACATGGGTGGAGTTTGGCCTGTTTCTGGTTGAGTAATGTTTCTCGAAAAGACGGGAGCCAGCACACCTTGGGGACTATGTCGTCAGATTCGGTTGCACCTGGGAGATAACCCTCTTGCTCTGCAGATCTGGCAAATTGAATCCCCAGATAGGAGGCATGGAACAAGACTCGTCAAGTTGCCCATGGAGCAGGTCTGCACATCACCGAGCACCGCGTTTCAAGGAAAACTGGCCCCGCGCAGGGGCCCTGGCCCACTCCTCCGTTCCAGGCTCCCCGGCTGCGAGGCCTGTTATTTGGGAGTTTCCGAAAATTAGGCGTACCTTATTCTGGGGTCCTTATAATTTATGGATCCGACTATTTAGGGTACTATATTAGGGTCCCTATTTCCGGAAACCCCCATTTGGCTCTTGCTCCAAGGCATCTTCGGGTTTGCAGGCGGCTGGCCTCCCACTGGGGGCACCGGAATGGCCTCAGCCAAGCCCGACTTCTCAAAGATCGCTCGTGCCTGTCCGACAGGAAAAAGTGAGGTCAAGACTTCGAACGAAACCCTGGGAAGGACAACTGCAAAGACTGTGGGAAGAAAGTGGTCAAAGCACGCTGCAACCGGCTCCTTCTTTGGGCTCTCCTCGATCTTTCCCATCAGCTCCCACACAGACCGCCGCATCTGCCACCTGAGCTCGAACAAGTGCGATGCTGCGACAGTACTCTGCTACTCTGATTTCCGAAGCTCGAGGCCTGTCCCTTCAGTTCCTTCAGTTTTGGAACGGACAGGCTCAAAAAAAGGCTGGGATGCCCGCTGCTTCTGCAGCCTTTCCAGCTCTGCATTGCTGGCTGCAAGCTTGTCGTCGCCTTATACACAATGGACGACGCATGATGTGCTAAGATTCGGGTTCGGAGGTAGCTCTGAACTGCTACGTTTTTCTCACAGATGCAGGGCTTGGGCTCAGGTCAACGGAAATATTTGGCTCCGGACTGTCGGCGGTCTGAGTGTCGCTGATGAACGCAGCAATGATCTTTGTCAGGACCTGGCTAAATTCGGGACTGCCAGCCCGAGAAGCTCTCCAAGTGCGACAAGTTTCTACGACGCCACGAAACGCTCGGGCTGCGGCCGCCGAGCAGAGCTGGGACAGGTGGGCCGGCAGGGGCCGTTCGCTCGTTGGCGGCCTGGCGTTCTGACGATGCGTGTCGTGTAAACCCAGGAACACACCGAGTAGAGCTCTACACACAAAGCAGGGCTGTAACTTTGACATGAAGAAGCTCTTGAATCAAGGCCCTGTCAGGCATCCACAAATGAGGCGTTCGATACAGAAGCACTGGTCAACTTTCTCCAGGACGCCCAAGTCAGGGGCATCGTTCTTGATCATGTTGCTTTGTCAAGACATGCCCCACACTGGCTTTTTAGAAAGCTGCACGAAGCACTGCCGGCCTTTCGCTGACGAGCTGCACAGCTTTGCCGGCTATCTGTCAGGAAAGGCTTCTACGACAAGTTTGGTCTCAATCCAGTCTGCTGGAGCTTTGCAGCTCTGGTATCTGCAAGACGATGAGGCTGTCTCTCTACTCCGCTGAGACTGGAGACCACAGACCTGTTCACATGCAGTTCAGACCGCCACCTGTTCCAAGAGAGGCGGCCGTCTCCAGTCACCGTCAAAGGAAAACCAAATTGCCTGCACCTGCCAAGGGAATCGGAATTGAAGGCCACCGCACGACACCGGCAGTTGAGCAGTTGCCAAGATTGTTCAGAAGCGCAGCAAAACCCCGCTCAAAGCAAGACGCTGTGGCAGTCGCTAAACTCGGCTGGAGCAGGTCGCATAAGGACTCCAGCAACAACCTGAGAAGCAACTAGCACAAGACTCCAACTCCAACAGCTTTTGAAGGTCCCAGTGAAGGTGTCTGCGCGGACTTCCAGCAGCAGGCTGAACTGGACTACAAAACTGGGACGCAGGCTCTAACAACTGCACCGCCTGGCAGGCTTCGAGTTGAAGCGGATTCTGCTACGAGTTGGAAAGAGCCCCAAGGAAAAATCAACAAAAAACAGCAACAATCTTGATGCCATGAACGTGAAGACTGTGGGTAACAAAGGCATACCAGAACCCGGCTATGGAAAGCTCACCAGATGCCCCGGAATCGCAACTTCTTCCGCTAGCCTTAATAGCGAATCTCCAAGCAATCTGGTAGCTGCAACCACATGGGTAGTTCTGTAAATTAGGGTCCCGTTTAGGGCCCTTTTAATAAGGGTGCCGTACTATGTTGGGAATCTAAACAGGGACCCCAATTTAGCGAACTACCCACATGATGTCCAGCTTCCGGAACCTATGTGTGGGACGCCAGGCGTGATCAAGTCGGGTTCTCGGAACTTTTGCTACAACTCTGCAACAATAGAACAGGTCCGGGAGCAGATGTCAAGAACTTCATCATGCCTCATCTTGCCATGAAGATGAGCATGTCGTTTGGAGACTCTCTATAGAAGCTTAACCTTTTCCGACAGCAGCAGCAGCATTCGACGTTTGGCCCATGGCTGTGTGAAACCTACTTCACCGGCGGAGGTCGCGAA